CTTCGCGCATACAATTCCTCTCTTACAGTACACTAAGATGCAATATGCGAACGTGATCTTATAAACACACACCTACTCGTGCAACCCCCACACATCCAAGATATTAAGAGAGCATTTATTCTGTATTTTCTCTTAGAATGCGCATACTTGCTCATGTTAACAGTCAAATGACTACGAATTTTACGGATGTGATACTGTAACAAATAATGATACGCTCAGTGAAGTCACTCCATTCGAAAATATTGCTCTTCAGGCAAGTCCGGAATATACAATTAGAACTTATTCCCTGTGGGAAGTTTTAAATTCTGAAGCAACGTAGACTTTCATGGATTATTTCGATAGTGTTGATGTTTACGAGCTGATTTGTCGTAGTCAAACGCTCATTCGGTATCCATTATAATATTCTCTCATACTCCAGTGAAGGTGTATCACTGTTGAGAGAGAGAGAGGGAGAGAGAGAGAGAAAGGGAGAGAGAGAAAGGGAGAGAGAGAAAGGAAGAGCGAGAAAGAGAGAGAGAAAGAGAGAGAAAGAGAGAGAAAGAGAGAGAAAGAGAGAGAGAAAGGGAGAAAGAGGGAGAAAGAGGGAGAAAGAGGGAGAAAGAGGGAGAAAGAGGGAGAAAGATCCGCCTCCCGCCATGTTACCGTGCAGTGTGAGCGCCATCCTATTGGGTCATATGATTAAAAATGAGTACTTGCTTCGGAGCAAAGTGAGTCTACACGATGCTGAGCAAAAGCTCCATTTCGTATGAATAAAAACTTCGTCTGCGAAGAATTTGCTCGTGTCTCACGAGCTCGTTGTGAAAAGTGATAGTACAGGCTAAGAGTTTTAAAAATTGGTTTCCTGAGTAACTGGTTACATACGTTACGCACGTCGCGCACATTTGTGCGGAACAAAGATCAATGTTTTGTTGTCTCGTTCTTTAAATTCGAATATGTGTAGCAGTAACAAAGAACAGGATCCAGAAGCCCATCTGGTTCTTGTTGAAATGCTAGACAAATATAAAATTGTTTTTAAAAAGAGCCAGCTTCCAGAGATCCGCTGTGGCCGAAGCGAATCATTATAAAGTTTGAAAAAACAGTACAACGAAATCTCCGAGTAGAAAAGAGCGTTGGCCAATTAACATAAAAGATATACAATATGAAAACGCGTCTGAAAACAAACGCCGATAAAAATCGTACCAATCATACAACATTGTCCTTTTCGAATCGGTAAAGATTCTTACAGTCTACATCACGAGAATTTCGCTTTATATTGTAAACGTTTTTAGTCCTCTGCATCTGTATATCAGCACAAGGTAAAAAAAATCGGCCAATTTAACCTTACTATTCAAACCCGAGTCTGCTACTACGGTCCCTCCGAAATTTGGGAGCAAGTGCTCAATCTAAAGAGTAAACGCCTTACTTTATTCATACTCATTCTGAGCATTTTCTCGCCAGTTGAGAGTATGCTCAGAGACGGAGCAATTGCTCACCCACTTCATTCATACGAACCTGAAAAAGATCTCCGAAACTCGGAGCAAAGAGTAATTGATTACTGTTATTCATACCACTCATTGGCTAGTCACCTGGAGACCCGCCCAGCCTCGCCACGACTCGTCACGCCCAGCCCATCCTGAACCCACCCATCCTGACCAGTCCAGCCTCTCCC